TTTGGCCAGCCCCACATATGGAGGGTTCAGTACTATCTGCGGTTTTAGTTACCCACTGGGGGTCTTCGAGCATGTGCCCTGTGGATTAGGCGGGGCGGTGACTGTCTCAAGTGCTGACAAGGATGCAGAACCACTCTGTCCCTCATACTTCTGTTTTGTGTGTGGGGGAACCCACAGTGAATCAGCAACTCTGGAAAACTGTTCAGCAGTTTCCTTTGCAGTTAAACATACACCTACCCTATGTCCCAGCGATCTTACTCCTGGGGATTTATCCTTGGGAAATAAAACTTAGTTCACCCAAAATCCTATACATGAATGTTCATAGCAGCTTTATTTGGAATAGCCCAAAACTGAAAACAACCCAAATATTGTACAATGAGCTTCTCTTCTGTGTTCTCAGGAGGCACAAGTACCCACCAGGGACACCCCAGCCAGCAGCCTGTAATACATTGTAGACATCCTCTTCTGCCTCACATTGAAAGCATCTAATCCTCAACCCCCAAACTCTCCTCGTTTTACCTTATACAGTATATCTCAAACCTGTCTCCTTCTCTATATCTCATCCTTGAACGTCTGCTCAAGTATAATGGTAATTTCAGTATTGGATCTACCAAATTGACCTGCCTCCCCACCCCCAGTAACTAAAGAAATCTATTTAAAACACATGTTTGACTACATTGAAATTCCGTAGCTCCCACAGTACACAGGAGAAATGCGCACACATTTCGTTGGCACATGAGGCCTGAAAAAGTCTAGGTTCTTCTCTCCCTGGCTGCGTTTCTTACCACTTCCAAGCTCCTATTCGAGGCGTCGGCAGCAACGCACCGAGGTTGTTTTATGTCTAGTTTCTCATCTTTTTCCCACCCCCAGAGCCTTGCTCATGTGTCATCTGTGCCTACAATCAATGGCCTTCACTTCCCTTTCCGCTGACCTATCCTTCCTGGTCCTGCAGGGCTCAGCTCAGGAGTCAGACTCCACTCTGCACTTCTGTGCACCCCACGCATGTTCTTGCTCAACTGGGAACCCCATTCATGTTTGCAAGAAATTACATCAAAGGCACACTAAAGCCTGCTGTGAGCCTGCTTTGGCTTCTCTGAGTATTAAGAGTTTCCTAGGATCTTTGACTGAATAAATTTTAAAAAGCAGGAATAATAACATAGAAGTGATTAAGCCTTTAAAGTGTACCTTTTGTTCCCCAGGTCCTGTTAATTACCATTTAGGAAAGGTTTATTTGCCATGTACTCAATTAGTTAGGTAACTAAATAGCTTTCTGCTGATCAGGTAGAGCAGCATTTGCTTAATAGCAAATAACAAATGCTTATTTCCATTTAGAGTCTACTCCCAGGTGTGGGTTTATTTAAGGCTGAGCTCCAGGGGAAAAAAAGAAATTTCATTGCAGTGCATTATAACTGTTCACATAGCCACTTTGATCTAGAGAAACATGAGTTTAGGGGCTTTTCCCCCCTTATTTTAAATTAAGGAATAAGTAAAACCCAGAGAGAATATCCAAGTTACTCCAGTGCCCATTTGACTCATTCATCCAGTCCGTTCCTTCCGGGAAAAACAACATGAAATTCCTATGTGACCGGGTCACAACCCAGAACTCTAAGACCCCGCTCACGTCGTCTGACATCTTTGTTGTACTTCCCATGGGCTTGCCAGTGCTTCTCACTGTTGTCACCTGCAGAGAAACAAAGAGGAAGGGACAGACAGGCACGAGGCTGGAGGAAACATGTCCTTTCGGTGTAGGCTGTGTCATGTGAAAGGTCAAGGACAGTGTCTGGGGAAGGAGACACACAACTAGACAGTGAAAGGTAGATAATTCAATCAACTGATAAGTGGAGGGAGGCCATCCCAGGCAGAGGGGATGCATATCTGAGAACACAAATATATGATCCTTATGGTGTCCAATCCCAAAGTGCCAGGTGGGGAATTTGGCGAGGCCAGATGGTAGAGAAGGCTTTTACACTAACAGGCTGGGGGGCCTGGGGGGTGGGGTGGGGTGGCTCAGACCATCCTGTCCACAGTGAAGACTGAGAAAGGGAAGATCTACCTCCCCTGTTCTCTGCGGGAATAAAAGCAGCTTCTGTGGGCAGAGTGGCCCTATAATAGAAGGGACCAAAAGAGAAAGCAGGGCAGCCAGTGCAGGAATAGGGGATGGGAGGCCGACATATGCCTGCAGTTCAGTCTAGGGAATAAAAGAGAATGAACACAATGAACATTACAAAGGAAAGGAGGGTGGGAGGGAGGACGGAAGGAGTAGGGATGGAGAGAGGAGAAATAAAAGAAGAGGAAAAAAGAGAAAGAAAAGAAACCACGGATGCGCGGTGAAAACCGTGGACTCCAACACCCAAGAGTCTGGGTTACAAGCCTGCCTCGCCTCTAACTTGCTATGAAATCTCAAGAAAATGTTCTACCCTCATGTAGTTTACTCATTTATAAAATGGGGAGTTGTAGTTTCTCTAATAAAAAATTGTATTTTTTTATTAGAGTAAATAATCTTGAATACTTCAAATACTTAGGATCTATCCAAGGATAGAATAACTGCTTAATAACATCCCTTAAGAGCCTACTCATTGTGGACTGAGAGTGATAATTCTCCTTTAAACCATGGCACGAACTCTAGTTACATAAGATGTCACCATTGGGCTAAGGTAGGTGACAGGTACATGAAACCTCTTGGTAATGATTTTGCAACTTCTTGTGAGTCTATTTCAAAATAAAAAGTTTAATTAAAAGAAAATGCCCTGGTGCCTTTGCCAAACCAGTGTGACAATTTGTTCAGCAGCTATGTTCTGAGCACCTACTACCATATTTTGCTGTGTATGCACACTTTTTTGCTCAAATTTTTGAGGGAAAAGTAAGGGTGCACATTATACATGGGTAGTACATGAAATACCTTCTACCTGTTCTTGTGTTTTGTAATTATTTGTTACATAAAATTTCTTGTACCATATGTTCAAAAATAAATGCTACAATTCATTTACAATACAAAAAAATCAATAAATAACAAATTAAATTTAAAGATTAAAACAAAAGATTCTTTTTCCTGAAAGTTTGGGCCAAAAGCGTGGGTGCGCATTATACACAGCAATATGCAGCACATGCCACATGCTGCTCAAGGTGCCAGCCTCCCTTCTGTCCTAACAGGAACACATTTTCTAGCATTCACTGAAGTCATTAGGTATGATTTTCCAGCGTTTGCTATTCTTCTTGAGCTGAAGCACAGCAATAAACATGAGCCCCTAGAAATGGAAGTGTGAGCACCATAGCTTCATCCCTGAAGTTGGAGTCTTTGTTCAGCCGTTCCGTTTCATGAGTGTCTGGATCCCGCCCAATGCATCCTCTTTACTCCCGAGTGAGGCCTGCCCAGCCTCTGCCTGAGCGCCGAGCTCGTGGGTCTGCAGTCGGTATCCAGGGCCTATCCCACTTCTGCAGGCCCCAGACATGCACTGAAGGACTCGAATGAATTGAAGGCTTCCACCTTCCACTTGGCCTTCCGCACTACCATGGGGAAACCAACATGGAGAGTTCCAACTGTCAAATGTATCCATTCACAGTAAATACCCGGAGGCTGGGGAAATGATCAATGACAGGCCGTCAGATCTAGCGGAGCAGCCGGTGCGACCGGATTCCAGTTATCACCTGGCCCCGCGAGATTCTCTTCTTCAGTGAGGCCATGATGTCTTTCCAGGTCTCTAGGTGTCATGTCAGTGTAGACCCTGTGCCTAGTATCCCTCAAACTATCTAAATATGCCTCTTTCCTCGGTGCAAAACCAGATAAGTGGCAACAGGCCCCTTTGGGGAAGGGCTAGGGGAGTCATTGCAGCACCCAGACCGGACTCTATGACCGCCTTCCCACCGCCTGCTCCGGCCTGCGGGTGGGAGCCGCCACTGGGATCCTCCATGGTGCTGGCACGCCTCTCACCAGGACGTCCTTGCTGAGCTTGGGGAATAGTGTCTTCTGGGACTTTCCAGGGGAGATGATCCCCTGGTGGGTCTTCTGGCTTCACAGGATATATCAATTACATGTCCGTTTCCCTCGGCCTGTGTGTCCATTTCTCTACTGTCTACCAGGGCAACTCAGGCTTTTCCGTTTTGTTTACAAATGACCACTGATCTCTCCCAGCTTCTTAGATCAGCCCTAGCAGTGAGTTTGCCCTGGTTCTTGGGGCCTTGACAATATTATATCCCATGTCCTAAGGAAGTGACCCTAAGTCAATGAATCCTTCCTTATCCAGTTTTAAGTACCAGCCCTACCCATCAATCAACAGAGAATCCCCGCAGCACCGTTTTGAGGAATAATGATGCCTGTCATGAAGGGGTGAGGGGGGCTCCTAGACACCCATCTTTTACTGTTTCAGCTGTAGACATCTGTGCAGCTTCCACAGTCTGCAACTAGGGCTGAGGAAAGATGACCACAGAGCACAGGTGCTCTGACCTAGTTCCTCTCTCGTTTGACCAAGGGAATGAAAGCGATAGATCGCATGCGTGACTTTTTTCCCAGGGCAGACGTGAAAAAAGGAACAAAAGCAGAGGAACCCAGGAAGAGAGGGGCTATAACGGGTGGCAGGGCGGTAACAAGAGGTCAGGTCCAAGCTGTAAAATAGTGGGCGCATAAGGGAGAAGTGTGAGGGGCTTCTTGCAAGTAAATATTTTTCTTTTCGCAGTTTTGCCTTTTATTGATCCTCACAGAGTCCTTGTTTTGGCACAGATCTGAACCCCCTTAAGTCTTCTCCTCAGTGTCGTAAAATGTCAGCTCTATGATTGGTATGATGCCTCATCAGCCATGATCTAAGTCCTTCCTAGGTGACTATATCTAAGTGGCAACAAGCTCCTATGACACAAGTCAAGGAAGGGACTCCTGTCTTGACTGACTTTTCCCTCAATAGCCTCCTGATAAATCAAAAAACAATCTCCCAGGAATTCATTTCTACTGTGTCATGGTTGCAAATTTGAAAGAGAATGAAATTAATCATCTCTGTGTGTGTTTTTTTTAGACTCTTTCACGGGACTGGTTAACATCTTGACGGATATTATTTGGCGATTCACTGGAGACTTCATGGCACCTGACCTGGTTTGTCGAGTGGTCCGCTACTTGCAGGTATGCAGCACCTTCCAAGCACAATGAGACAGACTAACAGTGAAGCCAGCTCCGGGGTGTTCATGGGAAAATAACATAAAGCCTCACACTCCTACTCAACAAACTGCTCACTTTCTTCTAGTTGAAAGGACAAGCAACATTTGTAAGATTTTTTAAATGTTTTTCTCTGGCTAAAAATAAGACATATAAAGAAAATGCAAACAAGCAATCATAAGAATATCAACATTCATGTTGTAAGCATTAAATAAAATTTGCAGGCTGATGTTAAGGCTTTTGACATAGTCTGGCTGCTTCAGTACCTTCACGGTGTTATGACAAAAATACAACGGAGTAGGTGGCTTTACAAATAACAAATATTTATTTCTCACGTTCTGGAGGCTGGAAGTCTGAGATCATTGTGCCAGCGTGGTCCTGTGAGGGCCCTTTTTCAGGCTGCAGAATTCCCATTATATCCTCACATGGCAGAGGGGGCAGGGGAGCCCCGGGGTCTCTTCCATAAGGGCACTAACCCCATTCATAAGGGCTCCACCCTCATGACCTCGTCACTTCTCAAAGCTCCACCTCCTAATGCCAACAAATTGGGCTCTAAGATTCCAACATGTGAACGTGGGGAAGACACAAACATTCAGACTGTACACAGCACTAAGTAATCTCCAGAAAAAAATTTAATGTCTTTTTTGCTTTTTTCCCCTTCAAACTAACCCAACACTGGCTACTCTTCTATTTGCAAAACTGTTAGCAGTTTGTTAGAAAATAGGCATGAACTCTAGTAGTTTTAACTTGTATTTCTTGTATTACCATCTAAATTGGACCTTTTAAAGCATCTGTTGACCTTTGAATTTCTTGTTCTCTATATTTTATTATCCTTTTTCAATTCTTTTATAACCGGCATACTTATTTTCTCAGTTTTTGCTGGTATCTATTTTTAGATTAAAGACATTTACGCTCTGCCTCTTGAATAAGCTTCAGTGTAAAAATAAAATTGTAAAATATATATATTTGGTGTAAAATGTTACCTATATACCATATGCATATATTTCATTATTAATACAGCATACATGTATAAAATAGATTAAGACGCTTCAGCTTAGTAAGGAAAGAATGGGATATTTTATAGCTGGTGTTAGGTTTGTGTGTTCTGTTCCTGAGTTCTTAAAATGATTTTCCATTAATACATTTTATTTCTGATACCAGTACTCCAGGTCTAAATTATTGTAGCTTTACAGGGTATAACACATCTCTGGAAAACTTTATTCTGTTAAATTCCATTTGTTTGTATGATTCTTTTTAAAGAATCTCTGCATCATACTTATAAGTGAGATTATGATTTTCACTTGTTCTATCACTTTCAGATCTAGGTAATAGTTATTCCATCTTTAGAAAATAGGAAATAGTTACAATTAAAAATCTTCTTTTGTGCTCTGAGCCTACGCAAAAGAGCCCTTATTCCTTTCTTTCTGGGGCTGATATTTTCTCAGGGGTAATATTTTAAAACACATTTCTTCTTGAGGGTTTTTGCTTCCTTGTAGATAAATGTTTTCAACTGCTTCCTCTATCCATTGATGGGAAACAAATTATACCAGTACTTAGTGGTTTAAAACAAGTAACATTTCTTATTTCCCAGTTACTCTTAGCCAAGCATTCAGGAACAGTTGCCCTGGCAGATCCAGCAAAAGGCTAATCTCAAAGTTCATCAGGCGCTGCCCAGGACTGTAGTGATTGGAAGGTTTGACCTGGACTCTGCACAATTTACGTTCGAGGTAGCCACTCACAGAGCAGGCAAGCAAGTGCTAGCTTTTACTAGAATATTACATTCTTCTGCCCCTGGACCTCTCCACAAATATTCCTCAGTGTTCTCACAACAGAGCAATCAGCTTTCCCAGGAATCAGAAACCCAAGAAAGCACAGGAGCAGAGGCAGATGAACTCACCCTGCAAGTCATACATCATCACCTCCACATTATTCTATCGATCACAGGAGTCAGGCCTGATTCCGAATGGAGATATGGGAACCGCAAAGAGAGTGAAGCCACGAGGCAAGGCCACTGGGGACATCTTGGAGGATGGCTGCCACACTTACATTCACATTTTTCAAAAACGCGACATAACCTATAGTATTCCTAATTGCTAACTTAAATATGTGCCTTTTGACCCAGAGTTATTCATGTCACTAATATTCCTTCTGATACTGTGCATAATGAATGTCAAAATAACATTACATACAAAATATATTCCAGTAACAAAGGAAACTCTGACAATTCTCTACCCCATAAAGGGAAAGAAAACTTAAAAATTGTCAGAATCAAAATTTTAAGCCCTCTGGAAATTAAACAAAGGTTTGCAATAATCCAGGGAGGATTTATTCAATAAAATGGCTAAATCTCAGTAAGAAAACTAGTATTGGAGGTGTCCTCGCTTACACTAGCCTCATCCTCTAGCCTTGAGCGCGAGGCAGCCTTGAGAATTAACAGCTCGCATTTACGGTGACAGCAAATCTCCGGGCAGCCCTTGGAGAGCAGGGGAGGGCCAGAGCCCTTTCAACACCGCATTCCTGGGAAATCGTCAGTATTCGACTCTCTGGTGGTTCTGTAGAAGAGCCCGCTTGCCCAGCTGCCTGTATTTTACTTGATTCAAAACTCACCTACTGTGAAATGCCTTCCCCCTGGAGGCATTTGTCAAAAACAATTACAGGCAATTGATTAACTTTGTGAGTGCCTGAGGTATTGGATAAGAGTTGGGGGAGACTACAGACTCAATCGAAGCTTAAAAAGCTGACTTTGGGTGGTGAACACACAATGCAGTACACAGATGATATATTATAGAATTATACCTGTGAAATTTATATAATCTTATTAACCAAGGTCACCCCAATACAGTTCATGAAATTTTTAAAAAGATATATCAACCATACGTTTAAAAACCAAGCAGAGTAATGAGATATTCACAGATGCTTAGAAAATCACTGACAGAGTCCTGAGAATCTGGAGGGCCAAGAGCCTGTGCCCAAGCTCAGGAAGAAACAGGAGAGAACTTCAGCTCTTACCTTGGCTGACCTTGAAGTTTTGGTCAAGCAGGAGGTGAAGGCAAAGGCTGAGCCCTCGCCTGTCTGACTGTGTCAAAACCAGGGCCCAGCATTCACACACAGGCTCTCTGCAGTGACTGGAAGACATACTGGTTCCAAGCACCTGTGTGTTGATTCTAACGCTCCTGTCTGGGATTACAGTAATGAGGGAGGCTGTGCTATATTAGGGCTCAGAGTTCATGGGAGGTCTCTGTACCTTCCACTCGGTTTAGTTGTGAACTTAAAACCAGTCTAAAAAAATATGTACTTAAAAAAATGGAAAAAAAAAAAACTGTGGGACAATTACAAAACTTGTAAGTAAAAAATTAGTGTAGTCCATTATATCAAAAAGGTAAAGAAAATTTAGAGGATCATATTAATAGACACAGAACAGCATTTGATGAAATTCAACACCCATTTAAGATTAAAAAAAAAAACTTTCAGAAAACTATGCAGAGTGGGAAACTTCCTAAACGTGATAAAGAATATCTGTTAAAAACCTACAGACAGCCTCATACTTAATGGTGTGAAACCAGAAGCCTTCCCCCTAAGACTGAGAACAAGGCAAGGACATTTTCTCTCACCACTCCTATTTAGCACTGCCCCAAAAGAACCAACAGGGTGAAAAAAAGGAAATAAGATGTATACAGATTGGGAAAAAAACAAAATTAAAATAACTTTGTTTACAGATGACAAAATTGTCTATATAAACAATCCAAAATAATAGAAGAAACTGTAGGACTATTAAGTGAAAATAGCAAGGTTAAGAATACAAAATTTGTGTAGAAAAGTTAATTTCTCATAAAGTTTTTTCATATATCAGCCATAAAAAGTTTGATTTTAAGATTAAAAACACAATAGCCCTTATGTCAGCACCAAAATATGAAATATTGAGATATAAATTTAACAAAATATGTGCAAGATATATATTAAAAACCTATAGAACTCTGATAAGAGAAATCAAAGGATATCTGAATAAATGCATAGTTCATGTTCATAGATAGGAAGACTCACTATTGTTAAGAAGTCAACTCTTCCCGATGTGATTTATAAATTTGATGCAATCCCAATCAAAATTCCACCAAGTTATTTTATAGATATAGACAAACTGAATTTTATATGGATAGGTAAGACACAGAATAGCCAACACAATACTGAAGAGGAACAAGTTTGGAAGACTGGTACTGTTGGGTTTCTAGACTTATTCTAAAGCTACGGTAATCACGACAGCACGGAATTGGTGAAAGAATCAACAAGCAGATCAATGGAACAGGTTAGACCCCAGAAACTGATGCACACAAATACAGCCAACAAAGGAACAAAGTCAATTCAATGGAGAAAGGAGAGGACCTGTTCAAGAGATGGTGCTGGGGTCAATGGGCATCTAATGAAGAAGAAGGAGAAGGAGGAAGAGGAAGAGGAGGAGGAGAATCCAAACTTATACCTTTCACAAAAACTCACTCAATATGGATCATAGACTTGAGTGAAATATGCATTACTATAAAACTACTAGAATATAATATTAAAAACCCAGAGGACTTCAGGTGTCTCAATGACTTTGTAGATACAAACCTGAGAAGAAAAATCAAAAAGTTGGATTTCATGACAATTTTAAATTTCTCTGTGAAAGACACTGTTAAGAGACTGAGAAGACATGGCACAGAATAAGAAAAAATATCTTCAAAACACACATTTGATGAATGTGCGTTTTATATCCAGAATTAACAAAGAACTCTTAAGACTCAACAATAAGAAAGTGAACAACACACTTAAAAATGAGCAAAAGATCAAACAGACACTTCACTAAGGAAGATACATAGGAAACAAACAAGCATATGGAAAGTTCCACATTTTATGGCATCAGAGAATTGCAAATTAGAATGATAATGAGATGCCACTATATACCTAATCAAATGGTCAAAATCTAAAAAACTGATCACACGAAATGCTAGAGAGAATGCGTAGCAACAGGAACTGTCTTTCATTCATTGTGGGAAAGCCAATGGTACAGCCCCTTTGGAAGATAGTTTGCCATTTTCTTATAAAATTGAACATGGTCTTACCATATGATCTAGCTATTTATTGTGTTTCTAGAGATTTACCCAACTGAGTTGACAACTTATATCCACACAGAAACCTGTGTAAGAATCTTTATAGCAATTTTATTCATAATTGCCCAAAACTGGAAGCAAAATGTCTCTCAAAGCTGAACTTTGAATAAACTTTGGGTCGTCCATGCAATAAAATATTATTCAGCAATAAAACAAAATGAGCTATCGAGCCACACAAAAAAACTGATGATAAACTATGGTATGTCCATATAATGAAATGTTATTTAGCAATAAAAAATGAGCTATCAAGACATGAAAAGTCATGGAGAAATCTTATATGAATATTGCTAAGTGAAAGAAGGTAATTTGCAAAGTCTCCTTACTGTGTGATTACAACTATTCAACACTCTGGAAAAGGCAAAACTATGGAGACAGTAAAAAATATCAGTGGTCACCACGGACTTGGAGGGATTGAATAAAATAAAACGTGTAGGGGACTTCTAGGCCAGTGAAAGTTTTCTGTATGACACTGTGATGCTGGGTAGATGACATGATGCGTTTGTCAATGCCCACAGAATGCCTGACACCAAGGGTGAACCTTAACGCAAACCATGGACTTCCGTTAACAATAATGTGTCGATATTGGTTCACCAACTTTAAAAAATGAACCACACTGATGTAAGATGTTCAAAAATAAGGGAAAGTGGCAGGGAGGGGGCAGTTAATATGGGAAGTTTCTGTACTACCTGCTCATTTTTTTTCTGTAAATCTAAAATTGCCCTAAAAAAATAAAGTACATTAAATTTTTTTAGTCAGTCCAGGAATCTTCCTTTAAGTGAATCCAGTCTGGCATTTTTAAAAATAAAATGTTTCTAAGTTTCCTTTATTTAAGTCTCACGTCTCTGCAAGATTTTACTTGGTTTCATATTTCCTAGGTCATTTTTGTCAGAAATGAGGGGTGGGGTAGTGAAAATTCAAACATATGTCCTTAAACTGCCGCCTGTTCTCCAAATGGTATCCCATATGTTGTTGATGTGTAGAATTTTCATTGTTGACATTTACAAATTGACTATAATTGTACTTTGATTTCCTTCTTGACTCGAGTTTAATTATAAGGGTGGTTAAATTTTCAAGTGGTATTAAAAAAACATAATACTAATTTCAGCTTTCATTGCTTTTTTTAAAGATGTAAATTGCATTAAGTTCCACTTTTTGGAATCTATTGGATTTTTTTTTTCTTCATAGTTTAGCTTATGACCAATTTTTGAAATGTTACCTAGCTTTTTTACAATAATGTGTATTTTTAAAGCTTAATTTTTTCTACATATTTTTTGTGGTTTTTTCCCTGTAAAACTATAAACATTTTAGTACCATAGTTTATATTTAGTGTTATGTTACATGTTTCACATAAGTTTCTTTATATTCTCTTGCTATGAGGTGTTGTATCTATTATTATTATAAACAATCCCTTTATCGCACATAGTGCTATTTGCTATGAATTTAATATGTCTAATAGTAGTATTGTAATGAACGCCTCCTTCTAGGTCCTAGTTGCTTAACATACCTTTGGCCATCATGCCATTTGTAAGCTTTGATAATCGTTGGGTTTTAGAGGTTTCTCTTCTAAACAGTATACAGTTGAGGAGGTGACGTCAGAGGGGGGAAGGGGAAGAGAACTCCCAACGGCAAAACCCTTTCTGCTGTCTCCTCCTCAACTGCGCGTGGCCCGCCTTAACAGTTATGAACTCATGGGTCATACGTAGAAATCCCAATGATTTGGGGAGTTAAACTCCACCATCATTTTTTTTTTCTGTCCCTATAACACCATTATAGCACCAGGAGAATTTCTCCTTATACGCCTCGCCTCACGAAGCCTTCGATCTCTGGTCAGTCCTCAGAGCCCCCTCCCTGTGACACATTTGCAGAAGTGTTATAGAAATAAGAATAATAAAGGACAATAATATAGTTGCTTGGTATTTGTCTGAGCCTGGGAAAAAACCAAAAAGGTACAAATTCACACAAAGGTTATTGCCAAAGTCTCATTATTTCTATTTTAGAAAAAACATCAAACACTCACTCGCCCTTCAACTTCAGTCTTCGTGTTTCTCTTCAATGTGCTCTGGAGTTGACCCAAAGGTCAGGAAGCAGAGATGGGGCTGGACTCCCAGTGAAAAAGAGGCTCAAAGTTAGCTGACAATTCGTCACCTTGATCGTCCTTCCAGACTCTTTCATTTAATTACACTTTGAGCATGCTCTTCACATAAGAGATATTAAGGTCTTATATCCTAATTTCCTTCTCTGCGAAGTACGCAAATAGCACTGCACACAGGATAATTAAAGGGCATGGGTAAGGTTAATAAAAGAGAGGGGAGGGGGAGAGGAGACCCAAGCACCCACCGTAGGGAACGGCTCCACCGGAGACGCACACGGGGGAAGGGGAGCTGTCAGTCAGCTCAGGTGATGCGCAGTGATTTAAACAAGGCCAGTCAAACCCAAAGTCTTCTTTCCTCATCTCTGAGCAGCTCATGCTGATACAAGGCAAAGGGACTTCTGTTTCTAATTATCCTGGAGTGTCCATTGTGGCAGTGAAAACTAGTTGAGATTTCAAAGTCAATCACCAGCAAAGGCACCGAGCAGGTGTCCAAAGGGGGTCGGTCGTGAAAAGGGGAGCCTCCAAGAAGCCGGGGGAGTGAGGGAGCGAGGGCATGAGCCAGTCCCCACGAACAATGCTAGCGCAGCACCAAGAGCAGCCATCTGCGTCCTAGAGCTGGAGCCGGTCCTCCTCCCCGGACCCACAAGCCCGCCCCGCCCCGCCCCCTGGGCTCAGCGGCCAGGTCTCTGCACCTCACAGAACATGCACCTTTCCATCGCGCGCCTTCCCGCACTCTGTGAGTTCACGAAGCTCCTCTTGTTTTCTGTCCCCAGGTTGTGCTGCTCTACGCCTCCACCTACGTCTTGGTGTCGCTCAGCATAGACAGGTACCACGCCATCGTCTACCCCATGAAGTTCCTGCAAGGAGGTGAGCTGCCTCCACCCCCTGCTGTTTCCTAGGGAACTGTCCTGGGGGTGGAGGGGGCAGAGGGGCCGGCGGGGAGCATGGAGTTGTTTTCACTGCTACACTCTTAACGGTGGTTCTCTTCCTCCCTCTTTCTTCTCCTCCTCCACCTCCTTCAATTCTGGGTCTGATCGTCAAAAAAATGTAAAAAAGAAAGGATGGTGCGTGGAAAAACGCTGGTGCCTCCCATGGATGGCCAAGAGCCACTAGGGAAGGTGGTCGGCTACCCTTTTACCTTCCGCTAATGCCTCCAGATTCTTCCTTTAGAGCAGGGTTGATACACACACCTGTTTGAAGAAAGCAACACTCCTACTTCAACTTGTTCATGTTCCAGAAACAAGCGCTGTGCCCACTTTAACCCCAAACCATAGAAATAATTAGAAAGATGTTTTTAACAGATACTCATACTGGAAAGAGGGAAACCCCTCCTTAATCCAGGGATTGTGAAGAATTCCTGCAAGAAGGAAGCAGAGGGGTTGGAGGGAAGGCTGGAACCGTGTACAGCCCGTAGTGCCCGCAGATGCTGCTGCAGCAATGTGGGCGCACTTCGAGTGCTTCCTGGACAGATCATGCAGGCGCCCGGGGCAGGAAGGGCTCCGGAAGCCGGCAGGGTGGTTCCTGAGCACCGTCGGGAGGGCCCCTCTCTGCTTCCACGCAGCAGGGATGCTGGATCTGAAGAGGCAGAGAGGCATTCCTGGAGCAAAGTGCCCTGGAGGGACTGCGGGTACCTAGTCACGAGGCTACTCTTTGCGACTCTGCCGATCGGCAAGGCCTGCTCTTCTCCAAGACCCACCAAAGCAAGTAAGAACCCAGCATTTAGTGACCCATACTACACGCTCCAAGAAGGCTGTGAAGACTGGTGAATAAAGACCTTAATATAAAATCTTGACTACAGGTTTTTTAAAATGTGACAAAAGCCAAACTGTGGAAAATAGAGAGTATATTTAGAATACCATTCTGCAAGATTTACACCCAAGGAAACGAAAATAATAGAGCTTCAGAATAAGTGAATTAATAGCACCAGATACCATGGAATACGTCAGCCAACATGGGCACAGACACTTTGAATGGCAACTTAACAAGATCTAAATGCAAAATGAGCAGCCCTTTGACATAGACATTCTACTTCTTGGTGTCTTCTCTGGAGAAGCACCCCTACATGTGCATGTATCCACGTGTTGTGTCTTGCAGTCTTGCCTAAAATGACAGGAATTCAATGCTAACTGAGGAGGAATGGCTAGCTATGCTTAGGTGTATTGATTGCATGCTACATGCCTTTCGTGACTGGGAGTTCTTTACATATGTTAGACACTTTGATCCTCACAACACCTCTGTGAGGTAGGTTCCATTATTATCTGCATCTTCCAGTCTGAGCAATTGCAATTCAGAAAGGAGCAGTAACTTGCCCAAAGTCACACAGCTAGTAGGCGCAGGGGCAAGATCTGAACTCAGACAATGTGGGCCTAGCTCAGTTGACCTTGGCTAGCACATACCGTGTCTCTCTCAGTAAGGATGTGGTAGAGCCGTGGCCAGTAATGTGCACTGACAAAAAAAAAAAAAAAAATCTAAATGTCATTTTCAGTGATAAAACAACATGTAGAATAATCAATGCCGTATGATAAAAATTAATGTAAAGACAAATTCAAAGCAATGCTAGATATTGTATAGAGACAGACAGAAGGACAGAGGAGAGACTGCAACAAAAAGGGAGAGCCCAGAATAATATACAGGTGCCTGCGAGAACACACACCGCCTGGTCCTCACTTCTGGGGGTGGGAGTTGAACCCACCATACTGGCCACAGGGACGGACTTCCATGCAGGAAGGTAATTTCTAACCAGAAACATATCAACGTATTGTGTGCAATGAAAATTAATTTCAAAATAGAATTTACACCCATTTCTTGGGCTTTTTCTAGGTCACTTGTGTGTGCGTGCATGCGTGCATGTGTGGACAGCACAAAGCTTTCTGGGCGCAGTGCTGCACTGCCCTAGGGAGTATGGGAGAGGAGGAGGCAGGGGATGGGAGGAGGGAAAATGGGAGAGACGCTCTGTGATATATGTGCACAGAGGTGTGATACGCTTATTCATCCATCCATTCATTTATGCCCAGTGGGCTCCGGGGAGGACTGAATGCGGTGTACAAAAAGACACCTCCAACAGAATGTTTTAAGGGTGAAGAAATAGGAGACAAGGGAAAGTAAGTATCAGAAAACACATGAGGGGAGTCTACGCAACGAGGGGAGTCTTCGCAAAGCGTGCTGGAGGGGGAGGGCCTGGGGTCCACAGCCAGCAGGGAAACATGGTTAGTTACACATCGCCTCATATTCACTGGGTAAAAAATAATATCCACTGCTTAGCTCAGGGCAAATATGATGAGTTCTGGGAGACACTGTGCAATATTCTGAACAGTGTCCTAGATTACAGGGAAGGCAGCGATGAATATTATTATAGTGTTCATTTAAATATGTAAAGTCATCTATTTCCTCACTACAAAATTAACAGAGGCTCCACATAGGCACTTGGAAAATTGTCATTTCCAATAGCATCGGGAAAGATGCAAGCGTGGAAACAGACATTAGCCATTTTCCCTTCCTCCGCCCGACCCAAGCAGAAGTCTTGGAGGAAACACAAATACAGGGGAAGACCTGCAGCTGGGACAGGTGCTGAGGAGAAAAGCCATCCAAGTATCTGAAACCTTAAGGCATTTTCACACACAGGGGACAGATTTAACAAGGATGCCAACCCCCGCAGGAAAACTGGGTGGCCTTATAGGAAGTGGCGAAGGTCCTCACGGTTACAGCGTTAGGGAGTGGGTAAAACAAGACAGGAGGAGGGCCCTCGGCTAGACAGAGTCACCTCGGTGTGGCAGGTCACAGGGACATGCGGGCAGCTGTGCTGGGCACGGTTAGGCGTGTGTGTGACTGAGGTAAGGGGAGGCAGAACTGACGCCCCGAGGAGCATGTCACCATTTCAAGCCAAGAAGGTAAATCCAAGGAGGAGAAGGGGAGTAGAAATTGGGGGGCGCAGACCTATGCCAGGCTGTGTGCCAGCTTCTGGGCACACACTCTCTCTTTGATCCTTGCATCGGCCCCAACGCAGGGCCTGCTCCCGCCACATTGCAGACGGGGAAACAGAGGCTCTGAGGGGCCCCGAGGTACCCTCGCACGGTGATCCTCTTCTGCACAAGACTCCAGGCTGGCTCCCCAGGATGTCCCCAGACGCCCCGCTCGCCTTCTCTTCCCTCTGAGCAGAAAAGCAAGCCAAGGTACTCATCGGGACGGCCTGGAGCCTCTCTTTCCTGTTCTCCATCCCCACCCTGATCATATTTGGGAAAAGGAAGCTCTCCAACGGCGAGGTGCAGTGCTGGGCCCTGTGGCCCGATGACTCCTACTGGACCCCGTACATGACTGTCGTGGCCTGCCTGGTGTACTTCATCCCGCTGGCGATCATCAGGTGAGAGGCCGGCCGGCCAGACCCCTCCCCCACCTCGCCCCAGGAGCGCTCCCGGCTTGCACGGCCTCTCCCCTCCCCTGCGGGTGCCTCCCTGCTCCTTGAGTTCTTGGGGAACCTGGCCAGGCCGCACACTCTTATCTGAAGCGTGCGCTGAGCCGGATGTCTCCAAAGTCGAGGGAGGGGCAGGAACTAACAGTTTCTGAGTGTGTAGAATCGGACAGGCATCGTGCTAAATGGCTAACAATTACCCTATCAACCACGCTGCAACTCTGTGAAATAACTACTGCTGTCCTTATTTAACAAATGATAAAACTAAAGCTCAGAGAGGTCAAGTAACTTGCCCAACATCACACACAATCTGAACTCAGGTTTGTCTGGTTTCATATTCTATTCTTTCCCTCGCCTTTCAAATACGAGACATAGTACCAGGCTCAGAGATCTTCTGATGGAAAAGGTAGACATACTTGAAACAAAACTGAAGAAGTAACACAACCAATATGCTAGAGTGAGCGTGCAGTGAGGTCAGGTAATGGCAGGAAAGGTTTCTTGGAAGCCAGTCTTGAAGGATGGAAGGATTCGGACAGGAGGGGAAAGTGGGAGAGACAGCTGGCTCCCCGGTGACCAGAGGTCAGGGAGAGTGTGGTGACAGGGGAGGACAGGTGGGCAGGGCCAGAGGGAGAGAAGGTGACAAAAAAACTCTGGGTGGGATGAGGCTCGATTGTAAAGGGCCTTAGCAACCAAGCCATAGGATGTCCCCTGTGTCCCGTGGCTAATGGTGGGCCAGAGCTGGGCTTTCAGCAAAGAAGACCACAGCCACCTGACAAGGCAGGGTCACCTCTGGAAGGGTGGCTCTGCCTGCGTGGGGGATCACTGGGGGATATCTCGGTGTTTGGTGTGCATGCGAGCCACACTGAGTCCACAGTCCTGCACCTTTCAAGTGTCCCCAAGCCTGCCATGGTGTGTCACATAAGTTGTAACAAAGGAAGATCAGCTTTTGGTTTTTGGTGGTATGAATAATGCTGTGATAAAAACCCTTGCTTGAAAAGTCACTTGGGTCTCTGATTAGTGCTCAGAACTCGTTCTAGTGGAATTGCTATATCACAGATGACTCTTATTCTAAGACAGATGCCTTGTTCATAGACTGTCCTCCGGGAAAGGTATATTCCTGCCAACGGCAAATAAGAACTCTTTTTTTTCTTCCCCAACCCCAATGGAAGGTGGTACCATGTCTTCATCAAATCGTTGCCAATCATAGAATTCAAAGAAAAATTATCTCATTGTTTCGGTATCATTTGTTTGATCAATAAGTGATTAGGTGCTTTCTGATAGTATGGGGATCACTTGCTCTTGCTCATTGCTCGCCTTCAGTCTCAGAAAATACTAAAGCTGAAGAAGTGTTCCCCATCCTGTAGTTCAGCGCCTGACGTTTTCATAAGAACAGGCTCAGGGCTAAAAGCAACGAAGTGACTCACCTTCCATTGGAGCTTGAACTGGGCTGAGTGACCGCCAAAAGCCAGCCCCACAGTTTTGCTGAGATTGGAGAATGTCCAGTCATCTCTGCTCAGTCGATAAATTAACATCTGCAGTTCATTTCAACTTACCATGCTTCTCTCCACCCGTTAATTTGGGAGGGATCTTGAAGGAGAGATGAAGGTTATTTAGACAACCATTTACACGTAAGTTACAGCAACATCAGAAGGGAGCACATGGGTGAGAAGAGAATCGTGTCCCGGCTGCAAGAAAGTATCTGGAAGGAGGCAGCTCAGGACGTCACAGGCAGCTGACTGATCAATTCCGGTGGCAATATAGGTCCTTGCCTCTCTCCTGATTGATTTCCTATCAGCTCCTGAAATCAGTCAAAAGCCTTGCTCAGAAGCGAGGACACATGCATGAACCACGTGGCGCCCCATGCAGCATGTGGGTCTTTCACTCTCTGAAATGTCCATTACTTTGAGCTCCTTCTTCCCACCAGGATGTCTCCTCAAACTTTCCACAGCCCACCTTGTGTGGTTTTGTTCTGTCCTTGGAAAAAGCGAAGTAGAACTTGGTGATTAAAGGGAATGATTTCCAAAGAGAATTTCACTCCGCCCTCATGGAACAAAGGCCTTCTTAAACCCCGTTCCTTGCTTCCAGCCTAGGTTCCACCCTTGGGCTTCTCACCCTCCTCTTACCCTCTCCTCCTCCCTTCTTGAAACAAGACCAGGCTCAGAGGGAATTTTGCACCTAATCCTTGGGATAAGTTGCTACTATTCTGTCTCTCTCAGAACTAAAGTTCTACTCTTTTTTTCTTTCTTCCTTAACCGCGCTTTGGCTCGCTGAGCTTGATTCTGTTGTTTGTGGTTCTTATAGATAAGGTTAAACTCTCAATTCCAAGCCTAAGTAGACAAAACTCAAACAAGGTGATAACTCACTTTATTAACCACGCCTTGTGCTTCATTGTCCTGCCTGCATTCTGTGTGTGTGTGTGTGTCTGTGTGTGTATACACATATATCCTTACCAAATTCAGAGGCAAATGTATATATAGTTGCTTTAATTTGCATTTTCACTACAAAGGAGGCTGAAAACATTTTATAAATTTATCGTTTTTGTTTTTTAAATAAATCACCAATTGATATTCTTTTACCTATTTTTCTCCATTTTATTTTATTTCCTCTATACTAAAGATATTCTTTACGTAATAAACTCTTCCTGTTTTTATATGTTGAGAATATTTCCCTAACTTGTTATTTGCCTTTTTAAGTTGAATGTGGTTTTATTTTGTTTTCACTTTGCAAGACTGACATAATTAAGAAAAGCAGGGGAAGCATGAGTAACTAAAATTAGAAATGAGAAATTCAAATAAAATGTTAAGAGAATCAGAGAAAAGCACTTAGCAAAACTTTGTATAAATACATGTGAAAATACGATTTGCATAGTACGTAGACATTTTAAATTTCAGCGTAGCAGTTTTCAACAGGTGCGAGAAGTTTAGAAACATGCAATTCCTCACTGTTCAGCCAGGCGCACCGGCCTATTTTCCCATAGACCGTCAAACAAAAAATGACGACAGCCAACAAAACAACAGTTGTCCACTGTGCAGGAATCAAAATTATACCTATTTTTTATGGTCAGACCGGCAAAAAGTAGAATGCATTTTTTGGCGTGCTGCAGAGTTTTAATAATTAGTTTATGTGCCATGAGATAAAGACGGTTGAAAATTGCTTAGTGCCCTCATGTCTGCTTGTGCTTCTGTTTTTATTTTATCATTTCATTTCTTTTTTCAGGAAATTGTCCCTTCCATATACATACCTATCTTTTAAATTTTTATGATTCATTATGTTAATTATTTGAAAATAATTTTAGAATAATTTTAGTGTTGGGAGCACATTAAGAATATCACTTTAAGAAATACATTTCATTTGATTTGCCAGTTGTCCCAACGTCACTTACTTTTGACGTTAGAGATGGATCAGCGATCTGTTAAATTTGGTTTTGTAATGCAAGGCCATTTGCTCCAACACCACTTATGAAGTAATCTATTTTTTCTCTGTGGTACAAAGTGGCAATTCTATCATATGCATATTTATAATATTTGTTCCAGCACCACATCCTGCATAATCTATCTTTTCTCTGTGGTATGAAGTGGCAATTCTATCATATGCATATTTATAATATTTTCCCAACACCACATCCTGAATAATCCATCTTTTCTCTATGGTATGAAGTGGCAATTCTATTGTACATATTTATGTTATAAATACTCTTTCTGAACTTTTCTTGTCTTTATTTCGTTTTTATTTTCCACGTTCTCCACCTTTAGAGCTATTTCTTATATGATAGCCTTTTTTATGTGTTATAAATATTTCCCCAGTTTGCCATTTTCTTCCTAATTTTGAACAATTTCAAAAAAAGTTTTTAGTTAATAGTGATTGACATAATTAAGGAGAGAATACACAAACAACTAAATGAGTGCCTTTTCTGCCCTGATACCACATTGTTTTAATTATTGTAACTTTAGATATATTAATGTCTGCTAGGACAATATTACCGTCTTTTTCAAAGATTCCTGGCTGCTCCAGGGGACCCTGGGACACTCTCCCCTTTCCCCCAGTCCTCCAGCCACAACAAACCATCTGTCCTTCCAGGTCGCCACCCCCTCCTGTCACCAAGAGCCTTTATGCTCATCTTCCCTCTGCCTGAGCCTCCTGCGAACGCACCGGCCTCGCTCCTGACAAACTAGTCCCCATTCTCCAGCTCTCACATCAGACGCCACCGCCACATGGAGCTGTCCTGCCAACCGAGGCCATGTCGTGCCTCAGGGGTTCATGCGCTCACCTCCACCCTCAGCTGGTCATGTCACCATGAAGGCTCTGAGGGAGCGTCGTCACCCCCCTGCTGTGTGGCTGTATCTATCTCTTGAGTCCCGGAACTGGTCTCTCTTAATTTCTGGGTCCAAATCCAACACGCAATGGACAACCGACACTCTGTTAATGTTGGGTTGAACAAACAATGCCGGCCTGACTGACACATGGCCCCTGTCAGACAACACAAGTGTCACATCACTGTTACACATGCACCCCCTAACATGAACGTTGCAGGCCTTTTGGTGCCCAGATCCATTTCTGGCCTGCGGTAGATCGTCCGTATAGACACGTGATGGGAAGAAGGAAGGGCAGAAAGAAAGGCAGAAGAGAGAAAGAAAGGAGTCGTATTCTCTGTGGCAAACTCACGGGAGAGCTGTGTATGGGCAAGGACTTAGTTGTTCTGTCATCAGTTAAATCAGGCTCCCAGGCCTGGAAATCATAGTGACTGACAACAAAGGCAATACAACGTTTTTCTGGGTCAACACAACTTCTGCTGCTTCCAAATTCACTTGTCATAACTGTCTAACTGTTGCTGGGGAGGTCATTAGCCCCGGTGGAATTGCTTGGTGGTGGCGGTGGTTATTTTCTTGGTACATAATTGATTTCTCATTCTCCTATCATTTTTATCTCTGTGAGATCAAGGTAAAGGCATCAAA